GGTTGGAGGTTGCTGTGAGCATGATGCCACGGCACTCTACCCAGGGGGACGGCTTGAGGCTCTGTCTCAAAAAAGAAAAAAAAAAAAAAAAAAAAGAAAAAGAAAAGCCATTACAAATAGCAACCAAGTACGCTGGTGAGTTCTCCGTTTTTGTTCTTGAAAGCATCTAACATCTTGAAGTCATTCCAGTGAACTCTGGATATGTGAGCAAATGTGCATGCACTATACTCAACTGTGACCCTTCTAAAAGGCCAAGTTTTCAATTCACTCCCGGCTTGTCATCTCCAGTGACTCCCCAGCCAGGACAGAAGAACTATCAGAGGCTGCGGAGCCTGGCCCACTCACTTCCCCTCCAGTTTTTCTAATTAATTACTCCTACTTGCAAACTCTGCACTACAGAACATTCTCGTTGCTCTCTTCAGCTTAAGGGAGTTTACACCTCTCCTTCTCTATGGAGCAGACTTGTGCTCCTACTTGGTAACTGCTTACACGACCATTTCTCCCACGCCAGACCGCCAGCTGCGTGGCCACGGAGACCCCGTCCTCCTCACTGCTGTGTTTCCAGCGCTAGTACAGTGCAGGATGCACAGTGAGCGCTCAACACCAGGACTGGCTCATCCCGCCCTAAGCTGTCACAACTCTACGGTGTTACTAGAAAACAATGAGAATTGCCTCAGATTTAGCTATTTCATTTTACTTTCACTCAGTGAAGCAAGAAGCTCGTAGCCTAATATCTACTACTAGTAATTCTGTAATTTCAGGAAGTTCCTCAGGTCTGCAAAGCTCTTAATAGAATGAGGTGTTCAAGTCAGCCACCATAACGCAATCCTGCAATCCCAGCTCTCTGGGAGGACGAGGTGGGTAGCTCACTTAAGTGTGAGACCACCCTGAGCAAAGCAAAAGGCGGTCTCTACTAAAAATGGAAAAAGCAGCCAGGCATAGTGGCTAGTGCCTGCAGTCCCAGCCACTCAGGAGACTGAGGCAGGAGGATTGCTTAAGGCCAGGGAGTCTAAAATTGCTATGAGCTGGGCTGAGGCCACGGCCCTCTGGCCTAGGCGACAGACTCAGACAGGAAGGAAGGAGGGAGGGAAAGAGGGAAACAAAAGAAGAGAAGAATGGGGTGTTCACAGCAAAACTCAATGGGAAACAAACAGGTCGGGGGCAGGAGGGGAAGGGTAAACCCACGCCCAGTGGTACAACATACAGTCTCCAGATGAGGGGCACACTCACAACTTTGACTTAAACTGTACAAAAGCAATTCATGTAACCAAAACATCTGTACCCCTGTAATATTCTGAAATAAAAAACAGATAAAAATTTGAAAAGAAAATAGAATAGGGTGTTCAGAGCCAGAAACTAGAAAGTAATTATTGGCTCGGCTCCTACAGCTCAACCGGCTAAGGCACCAGCCACGTACACCTAAGGTGGCGGGTTCGAATCCCCAGCC